TTTCCCTACTGTTCACATCTTATTTCAGATTAATAAAAGTGTTACCAAGGTTGATCTTCTGTCATTTGCTAATGACTTAGAAGCAAGAGCAGACCAACTGGTAAGTTTAATTCACTAATACAATAATACATAAAATCTTATATACTATTTAAGTATAAATACATGGCCAAGTATTTAGACTTTCTATGGGAGAGTGCTTCTACTTCAGATACTTATATACATGATGCATTGTCATGTAAGGAAAAACTTTCAAGAACAATGTTGCTTTTGAGCTGTATTTTAAATATTTCTAATTAATGATTTTTGTATGCTAACTGTTCTACAATTTCTGCTATGGAAGTGTAACTTCTTAAATTCCACTGTTTGCTTAAGAAATGAGGGGAATACTCTGAGTATTTCCTGTTAAGCTGTCAACATTTTAGGGTCCCAGTTGGAAGAAAAATTGGTTAGATCATGATGGAAAAGATGATTTGAAATAATTTTGTTTCGGTTAGTGAGCAGAAGATTTTGCAATTAACAACAAAATTATTACTGTTGCAGCTCATAAGGGCTCTAATGAGAACTGGGCTCCATTGTGGAGGGAGAATGCACAAAAGAGATGCTGTCTGCTCTGAAGGGCTTTTTGAATGCAGACACATGGACAATGGTCAGAGGGTATAGCTACAACATTGCCCACAAATAAATCTGCAGAATGACACAGCTGTGTTAACAGATAGTGAATATTCGTTTGATATGTTTGTTTGTATGCATGTCAAGGTCATTTTATATTTACTTTTCAAAATGAGTCATGATTTGGACGCTGGCCCAAGACAGATTCCTGCATTGCAATGTAGGAGAAAGAGTTATTGCTGCACATGTACTGCAGTCACTTGGATCACTAAGGGCCACAGACAGCAAAGTGAGACCATGCTGTTTGGAATTTATCAGATATCCATCCCTTCTCCAGGGCGAAGGTGGCACCAGTAGAGGCTCCTGGTGTGTTTACTCCAGCATTTTGCATAATTTCATCACACCTGTTGCATTATTTTTTTTTTGCCACACGTACACTCATGCCAAGGTTAGACTGCTCTTGGGTTTTTTGTATTGTAGTTAGCATCCTCTCCAAGCACGGTGAGCAAGCTGCGCATTGCCTGTTTACTCATGTAGCTTGTCTGCTAACTTGGACAGATACCAGTAGCTTTGGCCACACTTCTCTTCCATTTTCAATTTTTACTGTGCCATTTTGAAGGTTCTACAGGTGGGGGTGCTGTTGTTTTGGGGCTGTGTTCTGAGTGAAAGCTGAGGTTCTTCAAACATGTTGCATCTTACATGGAATTGCCTCTGAGATGTCTCTTTAAAGGTCTATTCTACATAGCTCCATAAAGGAAAATATATTGTGTTGGTGGATTGTTTTTTCATTATTTCTTGTAATAGAATCTAAAGGAAGCATTAGAATTGAGAATAGATCAGAGTAATTTCTTCATAGAAAAGACAAAGAAAAATATAATATTGAATGTGTCACTGTCACTGTACATTTTTTTTCTTTCTTGTGATGCTATTTGGAGTAATCTCTGAAATGTCTTTAAAAAAAAAAAGCCCCACAACAGTACAACGTATTACAAAAGTTAGATTGCTTCAAAATTTATGCTGATTTCCAAGGATATTTTATAATCCCACTTTGTTATTAGTGGTAGCTTTTAAAGTTTACAAGAGCAATCAATTAAAAAATAAACTACAAACTTTTGGAATTTATTAACTTTGAGTGTATAGTTTGCATTTTCTGGCACCTTACACAAAACTGAATGGATGTTTTTACACTGGAAGGAGCAAATGGAATAAAACTTGTATCAAATCAAGGGGTCAGGGTATGGAAGAGGGAGCAATACCACCCACAGGTGTTATTAGGTAAGTGAATTCAGCTTGTCAGTACAGGAGATGAAGCATCCTGAAGCTACTCAGTGACCGCAGCTGACCGCTTACATGAATGCTTCACAGGAAGCAAACACATCTCTGAGCATGGAGGTCTGCCATTATTACACTTAGAAATGGTGTTAGCAGTGTGTATTTAGTGATTTTTGCCACCAAAAGGAAATGGAATATAAATGTATTTCTGAAACTAAAATAAAAATTTACAGTATTTTGCAACAAGTGTGAGCAAGACAAGACAGGCATTCAGGCTTGAAAATTGGGGCACAAGTTCCTGTCTGCTGACTGAAAGGCAAGAGCAGCAAAAATGAAAAATACCCTTCACAGATGCCTTTCCAAGTTACTGACTGAAAATCTTTAAACTTCTGTGCCCTTCAGAAAGCAGAGGGCGCCTCAGGGTGATGTCCACAGTGCCCAAAACATAAGCAAGTACCCATGACTGGGAGATGTTCATCCCAGCCAGGGTGCCATGCTGCAGGGTTCTTGCGATGAAGTCTGGCTTGTGGTGAGTGAGAGGGGGATGTGCTCGCTCTTCTGTATCTAAAATGAGTTAGTGCACCGTGTGAAAATTCTCTTCAGTTAAATCTGTGCTGATAATGTTATAGCCAGAAAAGCAGTATAATAGATCTGTTTTGGTTGCTGAGGTTTGAATTATTAATATGGTTGATTTTTCCCCTCCTTGGGGGGAATTTGTTTGCCATATCCCATTGTTAGCATCAGCTGTTCTGCAGTGGATCAGTATAATGTGCAACTTTCATTGTTTTTTGCTTTGTTGGAAAACTTTGAGACTACTGAACAATACTGCATAATTGCATTTTTTGCAGCCAAAAGGAGCACTGGAAAATGCCTTAAAGGGGCACGCAAGCAACATTCGGATGATTCATAACCAGCAAGTTGTTCCACTAGAGCAAGCTATGGTAAAATATTAAAGCAATGTTAAAACATACTTGTAGAAAATATGAATCTCTAAATCTCTTAAATACAGTTTAGAAAGCTGGACTTTTACTATTGTATAAGCACAAGCACATTTGCATTGTGTCACCGAAGACTGATCTGGTTAAAGTATGTGTTTAATAAGTAGTTTTCCTACTTATAATAGTACTAATTTATAATATTGTCTTAAGTCATTACTTTTTTCTTCCCCATTTTTTTTCTGTATCTATTTGTGATTATATATGAATAAAAGAGGAAGGAGGAGAGATGGTTACAAAATTCTAACCCTAAATCACTCTTTTTTGCTTACCACTGTCATCAGTAATAAAAGCAATTATCACTTTCACACTTCATTTCTTGGAGTTAGCAATCACCTAACAGTGTTGGAACTGGAAACTCCTGACAGTGCTATTCAGAGCTGAAGTAAAGTCTTTTTTATTGATGCTATAAAAGATGTGAAAGAGCTGCTTCTGCCTGATTTTGCCAGGCACTGATTTGTATAGTACATCTCATACATGCTAGGTGTTGCTTTTTCCTCTACGTAACATGAAGACTTTTAGTTTATCCTAGCATCTGGTACAGTATTTCTGCCCCTATCAAAGCCCGCTTGTAGAAAAGCATTAGGTCTTCCATTCCACTCTGATTCTATGCTGTTCTTTCCTAATTAACTCCTAATTATTCTCATCTCTTTTTACTTTTACAAAACTGACTGTCAAGAAATATGTTAAAGCTAGGGTAAGTGTTTTTTCCCTTCTGAAATTGCACAATGTAGAATTCTGTGAACACTTGGTTCTGATTTTAACTGTTCTCTCTTCCCTCCAAATAAATCTTACTCATTTTATTGCTACTAACTTTAGTTAAATCTGAAGTCTTACAGTGTGCAATTCATAACTACTTAGTGCTGTCAGTGAAATACTGATTCAGCAATTAAAACCACAATATATTAGTTTTAATACAACTGTTGTTACTGTATATAATGTGATATGTTATATTATAAACAAAATCTATTGAAGATCAAAGCATGCATATAATGTTAAAACATGTGGGCTCTTACCTGTAGTAATAACTTGAATCTTCCCCCCCCTCCTTTCTAATAGAGCACTTTAAATCAGAGCATTAGGTTACTGAAGAGGACATCATCAGAACTTACGGTAAGCTTTTCTTTCTGGCAGCAGGAACATTTTTATGTGTTTTAAATCCATCCGCCACATACACAGGGCATATATTTTCAGTACAGCTTTTTCTATTTCTAGCTGTTCAGTTATTGGAAGAGATTGTAATTCATTGAAGTAGTAACAGGGATTTAGATACCTCTTATGCACAGCTTTTTCTACCCTGGCTTTCCCTTCCTTAGAGAAGAGAGAGAGAAACAAAAAAGAAAGAGTGTTTGGGATATTTTTTTAAAGTATGAATCGTACACTTAATTGTAACGTGATAAAGTAGACCGGTACGGTCCCAAATACTGTGTTATTCGTGTTCCTAAAAACATAGTTGATTTTTCTAGAATCCTTGAATGCAAAATGATGGGGAGGGGGGGAACGGACACAACTAAGAAACAAACCACAAAAATACATCTGAGAAAAGAGAGCTTTGTCATTCACATCCTTAACCACCTCTTGTCCAATGTCCAGCTCCCCCTGGGACCACTTTCTTGAGCATTGTGCTCTTTACCTTCCTGCTTCTGCAGCATCAGCCTCGCTGTGGGAACCTGGATCCGCAGGGCAGCCTACGTTTCCTCTCTAGCAGCTAGTGCCAGGACCACAATGAGACCAGCTGCCTTCACACGCTTCTGGACTGGGGAGAATAAGCAATAGGATGGTTACTTTTCTGGCAGCAAAGCTTTCTGTTGCCACCAGCCTGCCCTGGCTCTGTTAGCAAGAATCTAGCCACACTAGCTAGCACTTAAGAATCAGTGTCACAACAGCTTAATGGGCCATACCTGCCTCAGTTCTTCTCATTGTGGTTTTCACCCATCCACAGCAGCAGACCAGATAGATTTCCTTTAAAATTTGTGGTTTGAACTTGCATGGGGAGGTAAGAAGCCATGAAGTAAGGTGTTGATAAGAAAAGGATGATGTTTGACCCTTAAGTATATTTAAGAAAAGTCTCTACATTTTCAGGCTGTATGTACATTATCCTTTATGTGTGTTCTTTGAGAGTCTTTATGGGGTTATACATGTATTGAAGAAGTGTCTCAATCCTTTTGGATATTGGTTAGCAGCATATTCTAGCTGTATAGAGTCGTACTCTAGTAATTAAGAGTTGTGATAGTATATGGCCCACTCTTTTTATTGCTGTGCACTGTGTGTGTCTGTAATGTATATACATACATTGATGAAAGTATTTCTACATTTAAGGAAAGGAAAGAGAATGGAAGAAAAAGCTTGATCTAGTATATAAATTAGTTACATAGGTTCCAGTAAAAGATAACTGTTTGTGACCACTGATACCTTCTTTTTTTGGTAGTGAGAGAATTTTGTCAGATGATCGCGAATCCTTAGGCAGGCCAGTATTCTGTCTGGAATTGCATGTTTTGTCAGGTTTTGACAGGACAGTGATGCTGGTTTATCAAGAGAATAGGTTCCCGACAATGGCTGCAGAGCCATTGTAACAGCCTGAAAGGGATTTATTTGTATTAAATGCCGTCTCTTCCTCTCCAGGTTAAGGTGAAAAATGTCATTAGCGCTGTTAATGCTGCCCAGCTTCTCATAAATAACAACGCTTCTCTAGTTATTGTCCAGGTAAGCTTTATTTGATTAAAGTGCATTAATTTATGATGTCATAGAGATAGAGGTTCACTTACTTTTGTTCCCTTATTTTTGTCTGTTCCTAGGAGACAAAAAAGTACATGGATACCATAGTTGGCTACTTTGAGCAATACGTTGAGTGGGTTAAGGAGTCGGTAAGGTGCATTTAGTTCATTGAGAGAAGCTGCTTTAAAAAAAAAACCAAACAAACATGAAAAAACTCCATAATAATAATAATAATAATGTTACTTTGATAGTGTGTTTTATAGTTTCAGTTTGTAAGATATTTGTACTTATTATGAAGGGGAAAACTTGTCTTCTATAAATAGTTTTGTTTGAATAGTTGTGTTTGAAGTAGAATAGAAATGATGAGTTGTGTTGATTAGAATAAAATGCAAATTTAACATAGTATTGTTTTTCCAGGGCTAGCCTGAAATCTACCATTTGTGTTAATATTACACAGAACCTGACCTTGCTTAGTTCAAATTGATATCATTAGCATCTTGTTTTATTCTTCTTTCTTCAGCTGCAGCCTTTGAGAAAGTCAGCTGGTGTTTTAAAACTGTTCAGTTGATAGCATATCCCAATGGAATTTGTTTTGAATGTGGATAGAGTGAGAAATAACAATTTAGTAAACAGTATCTGCAACTGTAAGCAAGTTTTGAGATTCTTACTTTATTCTGTTAGATACTTCAAACTATATGTTTTTTTTAATCTGTCATTCAGATTGCCATGGAGGTAGCAGCATGCAAGCCTATTGCCAATGTGATAGATACAGCAGTAGATATTTTTTTATGCAGCTATATAACTGATTCTGTGGTAAGAAATGTTTTCTGTTACTCAAAATTGGGGCATCAAGTGGGAAACTTTTTGAACATAAATTTGCATTTAATTATTCTGGCTAGACTATGCTGAAGTATGATAATAAAGTATCACATCCAAAGTTATGCAAGGAAAAAATGTTCTGATCTGGATCAAGTCCAAAGCCAAATCAGTGCTGGACTTGTTTTAGGTTCTCATTAAACACAGGCTTCTATTAGCAAGAATTCTGTAAAATTAACTGTTCTTACTAAATTTCTTCTAACTTGAATTGCAAAGTAACTGCAGTACTAGTGGTTTGGAATAAAAATTCTGGGAAGGATGGGTTTCAGCTTGATTACTTGATTCTAAACCACCTTGAAATGGAAAAGCATAAAGATCTGAAGTTTCAGATGTAACCATTTCTAACTTAAGGGGATGGGGCAGCAGCAGGAAGTGAGAAATACCAAGGAAAAACTTTCTCAAGTATCTTCACTGAAATCTAGAAAACCTGAATGAGGCTTCATCACTTGGCTTGTAGCAGACAGATCTTTATTCTTTCCTGTACAGTAGAGACTTTGAGCAGGACTGGAAGCAGTATATAAGGGCAATATTGGCTTTTTCGTCTTGCCAAAATAGTTTGGAAAGAGGACAGCACATATTGAAAACAGAATAAGAAACCACGTGGCTGGAAACCACTTAAAACATCTCCTAGCTATTACTTAGATTTATGGCACTTTTAGCCAGGTCCTAATCATACCAACAGTAAATGCATGTAATCAGTCAAAGCCAGAGCACTCTGACCTTTATAATGCTTAACCATAAAATGATTAACCTTGATAATGCTTAACCTGTCAGAATCATGTTGTACTCATTGATTCTGTTCTCCTTTGTGTAGCCACTAACCACCTGATGGGAGATGGGCCATGATTTTCCTGATGATAGAACTTAGCTGAGTCACATATAAGTCTAAATGCCTTCAGCCAATACAAATCAAATTTGAAAAATCATCATTTTAACATCTGGTGATAACTCATTTCAACTGTATGATAATGAAATTAGTTACACAAACAGGCTGCAGTTAGCAAGTTAAAAAGTACCTTGAGAAAGTGCTGTAAACTCAAATTTTGACAAGAACCACAAGAAAGACAAATACTTTAAAATATCAAGAAAGGAAAAAGAAATAATGTGGGTAGTAAATTAATACTGAGACACAAAATTACTTTCTAGCCCAAGGCTGGCTACGTTGAAATAACTTCTTAGGGCACTGTGGCTGTGTAGCTTTGAGCAACTTTGAACCTATTCCTGTTTGCTTACATTTGTAAGATGGTGGTGTTCTTACTTGAGTTCACATTGACAGTGGAGAATGCTTAACATGCCCTGTTCCATGCTAGTATAAGGAGCCTCAGATAGTCTACAAGACCAGTACCACTAATTTCTACTGTGTTCTTCCAGTAACGATGCTTAGAATATCAAGCAAGGATTCAGTACTTTTCTGATAAATTTTCCCTGTGATCTTCTTTTCCTGGATTTTGCTTTGTTTCAGAATACCTTCTGGTTTGGTTTGGGAGGCTCTTCAATATTTTTAATTCCTGCCATAATTTTTGCTGTAAAACTCTCCAAATACTATCGTAGAATGGATACAGAGGATGTATATGATGAGTAAGTATATACTCCTAAGTAAGCTAAATGGCAAATGGATTGGAATGTTTTTTCTAGCGTCTCACCTGAAGGCACTATAATCCTTAAACCTTCTGTGCTGTCAGATTAGAACTGCATGTTCTTGTGAAATACTGCAGGTTTGGATTGGTGCCTGCAAAGAGCTTCATGCAGGTGGGCTTTGGTTGCCTTGACTTGCCATGACTATGTGCAGATATTGCCAGCTCTGACTTTAAGAAACTTATTTCAGAATGAGCTCTTCAGAGCTTCATGTACAGCGTTTATATAAATACTTTCCAAATGTGCAAGTGATTAGCTTTGCTAAGTAACCTGTTAAGGTGAATTATGCCTGCTTTGTAATCTCCTTGAATTAATTATTTGCTTTCTTACTGTCTTAGTTATTCCTAACCAGTCTTTCCTTTTTCAATTGCAGTTCCTCTGTCTCAGGGACTTGGCATTTTACTTTATGATAACTGTTCTTACATATTTTCCCATCTGTTTTGGTTTTACTGTTTTCTACTCTTTGTTTTGTTCATTGTTCAGTTAGGCTGTGCACCGCATTCCTCAAATTTCACACTGGTCGTTTTTCATTACACATTTACAAGTCAGTAGAGCAGAAACAGGCATGTACAGCTAAAATTACTCACTTATTAGTGTCTAGTTAATTACTCGTCCTTTTCTGTGTTTTTTAGTGTTGAAACTATACCCATGAAAACGTAAGACATTTTTGCTGGTATTTGTTAAAATTATTTTATTCAGGTGGGAGGGTTTATATTTTTAATGTAACTTGTTACTTCAAAAGAGGTAACATGTTCTGTTTCACCAGACTTTATATTAGAGTATCCAACTCAACAAGAATAGCAAAATAATTAATTAATTTTTGGAGAATATAAAAATATTTAAAAATGTAAAATTATAATTATGCCATAACTCTTAAATGTTACAAAGGAAAAGTTATATTCTATTGTACAGACACAGTTTATCTTTGCATATAATACCATCATCCATGTACATGTCTTAGAAGCCATACTGTACATAGTGCATCTTATAGTTAACATGGTCTTTCTTGGTGTATTTATTTTATTACAGTACGGAAAATGGTAATAATGGTTATCATAAAGAGCATTTATATGGTATACACAATCCTGTTTTTACAAGGTAAACCAAGTCTGAAACTGCATGCCTTCATGTGTCCTTACTTAATCTACTATATTAATCACCTATCCCATTTTCTGCATGTGTTGAAGTGAATCACTTAATTCTCTATTTATGTTTTTTTGAATGATTACTCACTATAGCAAATGCTGTATGATTTGTATTTCTCAAGTATTCTTTACGTAACAGCAGATATTTTAGTAATTTCCAGCAACTTAACAAAGCAATTGCCTAAATTTGATCTTAAAATCCAGGTAATTAGGTTTTTAGGTAGCGCAGTGGGTGGTCCTAAATTGATAAACCTATTAAAATACTTTGATAGCAGTTGAAAGCAATAGGATGGGATGCATTCTTACTCCTGAGTTGTTTTATTTTTTTAGATGGTGAGGAGAAGAGCTTTTCCTGTGCAAAAGGCAGGTGATCCAGAGTATGCAGAAATCATGAACAGAGAAAAAGGGTATTTCTGCATGGGAAGAACTAGTATAACATCACAAAACAAGAAATTCAAATTATGTTTAAAAAGGAGGAGGTGTGGATTCTTTTCTGTCTCTACAATTTCTGTGCTTTAAACCTTAGCTGGTGGTGAGACTTTGAGTTTCCATAGGGAGAGCATAGGATCTCCCACAACTTCAGTATTTGCATTTGCAAAATATCAGAGTTGCTTAAGGAAGGATCTAATTTATTATTGAAATCTGTAGCTCACTGCGCCTTAACTTTCAACTTCATGACTGAAAGGATAGGTTGAGTATTGGTAGAGAAGTAAGATATCACTATTCTTTCAGTAATGGGTAAATACCAAGAGAGTTCAAATTTGGAAGTCTTCCCAGATTTTATGGTTGCATCAGTTGTATATTTTTATTTATTAGAACTGTATTTTACAATAATTATTACTGACCAAATCTTGATTCCATATTTCCTTCTGAAGGAAATATTTGTATATAACAATGTTTTTAGTGATATTATGATCATGATTGTCATGGTCTGTTCTGCAACTTAAAGGTATTCCCTAAATTAACCTAGAAGTCTTTAATTCAAAAGTACTCTCCACTGGCATATCTAAGGACTCTCAGTTTTAAAGGACTTTCGATATTTTACATAAGAGGAATCTAATAATTGTTCAGGCTTCAGAAGTCCCTTTCTGATCTTTGAATCTTTAATACGAATGTTAATACTCTTGAGGTTCATAGCATGTTTTCTGTGATATTTCAGTGGTTGATGAATAGTTTAATACAGTGTTCCTGAATAAGCTAAAAATTACTAACATAAAATAATCTTTTAAACAAGGACGCACTAGTTCAGTCTTGACTTCTTTTTCCTAAATTTTAAGTTACTCAAAATGAACTTCCATGATAAAATGTAAGGATTCAGTTTGAAGCAATGCTGTCTTCTGATATGCTAACTGAGATAATTTGAAAAACTGCTAATTATATGAGATACATGCTTTGAATTTCTCAGTCTGGGATTCCCATAGCAATGGAGTCTTGGTTTTAATTTTCATTTCAGTAAACTCTTTGCTTTTATGCTATCCTTGCTTTTTCTCATTTCCTACAAATTGTTTTGGGAGATACTTTGAGAGAAATGACTTTGAATGGATCTCTCTACACCTGTACTTGTGAAGGTGTAAGGAATCCCAGAGGGGAATTTTTTTGTCCTTCAAAATCAGCTGGATTATTTTGCTGGAAAGAGATGCAAATATCTATAAATATATGTAAATACAAGTATGAGATCTATATGAGGTATTTTTATATTTGTATAGATTTCTCAAACAGCGTTTTTTGTATACATATTGAAGAAACAAATAACCCCAAATGCAGCCACCATTTTTGTGAGAGCAAAATTGGAAGCTGGATTAAGTTCTCAAAGCAGTGGTGTTGAATAGGTAATCCAAGCATTTCTTTCTGTCATGAAACAACAGTAACCAGAAAGGTTGGAGGAGAAAACCGTGAATCTATTTCCTCCTGTTTGAAAAATTCTTTATGAAATGGGTAAAAGTTGAGAATAGTTTGTGCCAACTGAGCGAGTCTCACCTTTGTTAGGCATGATATTTCTGTTCCATTTGTGGGCAAAAGAAAATGACGGTTTTGGTTTGTGTGTGTTTTTTTTTTTTTTCTTGCATAGCTCTGTGGAACAGTGGTAACACATACGGGAAACATTAAGGGGTAAGTAATAGGCTTTATAAGTCAATTTTGGGTCTCTTACTACTTTATCTTTTTTAAGAAGGCTGCTCTGCTTTCTGTAACATGAATGCTGTAAGGTTTAAAATTAAGAAAATTATTGAACCATATTGATGTTCATATGAAAATCTATGCTTTCATTCTGCTTAAATTACATTATAATTCTGTCTTCATCAAATTTTCCTGAAATGTTTTTGTGATTATTTCCAGGCTATATAAATGAGGCTCAAGATTCTTCTACGGGAGTATATCATTATTCTTCCAACTGTATTGGCATTTGCATTCATCTTTCAAATCCTGAGCCACTTGTTTTATGTCACCTGTGCTGTAAATCCCAAATGTACTATTGAATGTGATGCCATAAACTACTGTACAGAATATTTTGCGATCAGGGCACTGCCTCACAAATACCACTGTTCAAGGCTTGAATTAAAATGTTTTTTTTGTTTTTTACTTTTTTACACTGGGCTTTCTACCTTACATCACAGTATATAAATTAATTAGATTAATAGCCTTTGCCTAGCAATCCTCTGACAACTGGTCAAGTTCTTATCTTAAATTGTTGATTTGTGTTAAATACAGTACATACACGTTTACATAAAAATACATTTTGTATACAGAGACTTTTGTATATACATTTTTCTTAAAACTTTTAAGTGTTTAGTTAAGGTTTTATTATTGTATAATACTCTTCACAAATGAATTTACCAGCATGATCAGTGTTGCTATTTGGTGCTCTTGAATGACCACTTTGGACTAAATTTGAAGTGTAATGGGATCCACAGTGTCTCTTTGTGTCTCTGAAAAGTCCAGTTGCAGTTCTGTTTTCTCCCGCTTTTTTTAATTATTTAACATTTAGTGGTTTTTGCAGTATAGACCTAAAAGGGGCTTTTTGGAGAAGTTTGTTTTGAAACTCTTTGGGTGGGAGGGTTGGGAGTGTGCGTGATGCGTAATATAGCGAAAAAGCTAAGCTTTCTAGAGTTCAGTAGTAATGCAAAAAGAGCATGAGAGATGTATGTTGGTGATTTTTAGAATGCTTTACATTCTCTGTCTCCCTTTTCCTCATTCACACTCACTTCTGTAAAATCCTTAATAGTATCACTGTTAAGCTGTGGCTCTTTCAGGGGGCAGTGATAGTATTTTTGCTAAATAATTTCAACATACAATTTCCAATATTGAAATTCAAATGTGGAGTTAGCATTTGGAGTTAATATTTGTACTATTAGAGTTATTGCCTTGAATTTAGGCATACAGTTGCATTGCTGAATTAGTTGACAGCAGAATTCATCAACAAGGCCAAAAGCATATATGTTACTAGTGTAAAACGTTTCAGCGGGTGAAGTAATTTGGTATATTGATCTAAAATAGTGTCTCTTCATATACTGGTATTGTTAACTTTGTTTCCAACAAGCTTCATTGGCTTGAAGTAGGGATAATCCTGTAAATCATTCATATAATTGTAAAGAAATGCTGAAAAGTGATACCAGTCTTTAATCTGGAATAACCTTAAATTTTCCATTTTTTAGGTCATAAATGGAAACATTTCTAGTTGACAGTATGTAGCATATGTGTATATGTAATGTTCAGAACTGCAGATTTTTAAAAGTTTCTATTTTTAATTTGAGAAAATGTTTCCAGTTCATTTAAATAAAAAAGAACTTGCTTAACTACCTGATGTTTGATTCTCAATTGTTTTGTTGCGTAGACCTGTTTCAGAAGAGTTACACTGAGTTAAAATCTCATGGAAATGAATTTTTTTACCCTGATTAAAAATTTCTGCTGTATTTGACTTTTATTGAGGACTTTAGCTTAAGCAAGATATGAGACCAAGAATTGGAGCAGGACAGACTGAAAGAACATTGACTCTGGGTGAGGGAGCTTCCGACTTCCACAAAGGAATGATTTATGCGAAGATGTTAGGATTTGAGCTAATGAGTTGTGGAGGATATCCACATACCCTGGAAGTGCTCAGGGTGTTACCGCTTCCCCCTGTTGTTGTTTCTGTAGCACTGACAGCAGAATTAAATGTTTGCCAGTTCCTCAGCTCCTGTAGTTCACTGCTGGCATCCTAGCTTAACTTGTACAAGGAGAATTCTTTTGCACTGGTATCGCAGACCATGAGCTGTTTCATCTGAAGCACAGGCAGACAGAGGACACAAATGTCAGATGGGAGTGAGACAAACACTTGGCAGTAACGTATTAACCGTAATACATAAATATACCAGAGCTCTTGAGTCCAAGCTTTGGTGTTTGTCCTTATCCTTGTAGTCTGATTTGTTTTCATGATTACAGTTTAAAAACTTTCAGAACAATAGATCTGAAGCAGCATAAAGTAACTTTTAAGTAGTTTTGAACTCTTTCAACAATTATTAGAACAAGAGAGACTAATGCCTTTATTTTCTAATCTAGGAACTGTCAGTGCTGTTGTGAATAACCAAGTGTAAATAATGCATTTGTTTGACAAAATTAGGAGTTCTTTGCTTGTAGTAGGGGTTTGAAATCCTTGAAATGAAGTGTGAGGTTGGCAACAAGATTCTTCTGTCTGTCTGGATGACAGGTGGGAAGGCTCCCCAGAAAACAACAGAATAGTGAATTGTAAATCTTAAGTAGGCTTGTACCGTTGCTGTTTCTTCTAAGACTTGACTGGAGAGCCACACCACTGTGCTTTGAAAGGGACAGTCAGGAGGAACAAATGGCAAGAAGCTAGAAATGAGACCTTGTCCTGGTTTCAGCTGGGATAGAGTTAATTTTCTTCCTGGTTGCTGGTATAGTGCTGTGTTTTGGATTTAGGATGAGAATAACGTTGATAACACACTGATGTTTTAGTTTGTTGCTAAGCAGTATTTACACTAAGTCAAGGAGTTTTCAGCTTCTCACACCACTCCACCAGTGAGTAGGCTGGGGGGCACAAGAAGCTGGGACGGGACATAGTCAGCACAGCTGACCCCAACTGATCCAAGGGATATTCCATACCATATGACGTCATGCTCAGCATATAATCTAGGGGGAAAGCTGTCTGGGGGCCACTGCTTGGGAATTGGCTGGGCATCAGTCAGCAGTTGGTGAGCAATTGCATTGTACGTCACTTGTTCTGTAAATTCTAATTATTTTTGTCGTCATCATCATTATTATTATTATCGTTACTATTTTCCCTTCCATTTCTTTCCTATTGAACTGTCTTCATCTCAACCCATGAATTTTACTCTTCCTCCCCCCCCACTGGGGGGGGAGTGTGTGAGGAGAGAACAAGCATCTGTGTGGTGTTTAGCTACCTACCGGGTTAAACCAGAACCAACCTCTACTAAAAATGTTACTAAAATAACCTTAGAGAGGGGAGGAAAAGAAAGAAAATAATGTTCTCTCCGTCAAATGGTATTTAGTCATGAGGAACTTCGTGACACGTTCACTGGAAGAACAAGGTTCAGGCTGCCCAGAATGGCTGTTCCAGATGGCTCCATCTTCAAGCAGGCAGCTCTCAGACTATCTGGGGTGCCACAGGAGCTAGGGACTCTATTGTTAAGCATTAGAGAAGTATTTTTTACAATTTCAGTTTTCTGTTCTGCTTCACTGTCTGTGTTAAATGTCTAGTTTTGCCTTGGTATTTTCTTTAGTGATACCTGTTGAGTGGCTAGATATACAAAATGGTATTCTATTCCATTATGTGTGGCCATTCTTAAACCTAGGGTTTCTAGCACGCCAGAGTTATTCAGACATTCCTAAATAAGATGATACCCCTTCCAGAAGCTGTTCAGGTCAGACTGGGTGTAGCATGTGTATATTCGAAAGAAGTGCCTAGTGGGGTCTTGTTAGCCAGAAAAGTACTGTGGCTTGCAACAGCATGGGGGGGATTTTTCCTCATGACCTCCTGAATGCCAAGGGAGTTACCATGATTTTCCTTAGCTTTGCTTTTAGTTACTGCAGCAGAAACTGCTAGTACAGGATTCTGCACTAAAATATTTCTATCCTCTTACCTTTGTTTTATGGCATTGTTACAGTTCATAATAAATGAACAGCAAAATATCTATTAAAAAAAAAAAGTTAAAGGTGATAAAGCACAAATACCTGTCTGACATGCTTTGGGGTCTGTTCCCTACTGCCGAGACCCATGGTAAGCTAGTTGTGTTGTCTTGCTCTCTTGGCTGAAAATAACCCGTGGTGTGACAATGATGATAAAACTTCCAAATGTTTGGTTTGTGTTTAGGCCTGTAATACCTTATTTTGCTAAAGCTTTATTCCTTATCTTGCTTAAATATTGCAAGTCTAAAAATCTTTATGGTTCAAAGAATGTGCAGTTGATTGTTCCATGTGTCCCCACTGCATGTCATGTGCTGACTAAAGTCCTGAAGTTGCATCCTTACTGTGCAAATCCACAGAAAACCCATTCCACAAATCAGCCTTTATTAGTAGGACACATTTATAATCATCCAGATGTAGCTGCATGGATTGCTTTGGCACTTTTTGTCTTTTTTTTTTTTTACTTCAATACAATCTTACAAGCTCTGGCATGAACATAGCTATAAAGCAGCTGGAGAACGGAAAATATCTGTTAAAAATCAAATATGACATGTTCATCCTGGATAGGAATGTACTTCTTGGTTATACAACTAGCGTTCTGTATTTAACTGCATTTACAAGATTTGTCTTGTTACCTTCTTGGGAGTTCACAGGTTATTCAGCACTCCCTCAGGCTATAAATTATGGGCACATACCTACCGAAGTGTGAAAAAAATGACATCCTGCGTTTCACTGGAAAGAGGCTTCTTTGTGCACCAAGCCTTTAAATTGTGAGCAGCCGCTTACTGCTTTCACTTTTTTGCATCGTGTTGCTCAAGGATCTCAGTCAACTCCTCTCATGATGAAGAGTTTTGCTCTTTTCCTAGTAGTGATCTGTGGCATGGGAGGATTGGGACAGAAACTGAAGCCAAAGAAAAGAAGCAATGGTGAAGAAATCAATTTTCGGACTAAAACCAAAGACATTTGCACAATGAGCATGAGTGGAGATGAGGAGATCAAACTGAGAATTGAATGCAAAAGCCAAAGTATGTCCTACTGGTGTGAATTCACTGGCAAGCCATCAGTCTGTCGTGCTTTCAGAAACAATCCGAAGATGTACTGGAATCAGATCGCCGTGGAACTTAGGAAGCTCCCGCATGCTTGCGAATCCACACCAGTGTTGAAGACCACCATGTGCCAAAAAGCTCCCACAGAGGCTGTCATGAAACAAATAGCTGCTGGTGTGGAGCCAGAAGATCTAGCAAACCAGGACAAATCAGTCCAGAAAACTTCCACTTCTATGAGGGGAGAAGGGAAAAGCTCTGTTAAGAAAACAGGGAAACCTCCAATATTACCTCTTATAAAACCAACCCAACATGGTCAAGGGTCTGAAAACGAAACAGAAGCAATGAAACTGGCACGGGAACACTGCTGGGAATCCCTGCATGGTTTCTGCTCCTACATTATTGGCATCTTTAGAGGTTAAGGATTTGCTTCAGGTAAAACTCTCATCTTCAAGCACAGCAGAATATACCTAAGAGTAATCCGGTTGTAGTTCTGTTTTATTTTTATATTGGGAGTCTCTCAAGGGTGTGGATGGGGAGGTTCTAGGCTCACTCACTAAAATCTAATGTGACAAAGCCTGTACTGTGGCTTCTGAGGGGCTGGACAGCTTAAACACCCAGTGATGGCTACTAGTTCAGGACTCCCTGACAGCCTCCTGTGAGGTCTTCAGTATGTATCGAGATGTTTGTCCTATCTGTTTTTAATCCTATGGTATTTCAGTTCTAACTGTTTGAATTGGGCTTGTTTTCCACCTTCTGTCATTCCTTCCCTCTTGTGCTGACTTTTGGATTTAAGCCAGGGAAGTAAGATAAATAACAAGTGCATCAGATCCAGTAACAAATTCATCAGCTAGAACAATTTAAAACAGCAGTCAGAAATTGAGAGGATAAAGCTTGTTCATCAAAACTGCTATTTAATAAATTAACCATTTTAATTTTAAAAGTTAGTTCATAAACAACTTACAGAAATGAGTAAAACCAAATGAACTGTCTTGGGTTTTGGGTCTGTTTCTGTAGAGGTGATAGGGGATTGCATGCAGGCGCTTGTTTTGTAAATCTCAAGTTTTCGGCCAGGATTTAAAAAGGCAAAGCCCTCGCAGAAGTGATTGGTTTTATACTCACTTCCATTTCGGCTCGGAGAGAAAGCCAGGAGCTAGGTGACTAAACCTGGCAAACTTTTGACAGAAATGGGAATATAGATAGCATGAACCAGCAAGTGTTTAGGCTGCTAACGATCTTACTTGTGCTTAATACAGCAGAGTGACTAATTTTTTCCTTTTTTGTTTTGCAGAGCAAAATTTTTACAGCTGAAGAAGGGTCCTTGCTGTACTTTAATAAATTAGATGTTGGAATTCTGGTTTAAAAATTAGTCACCTCTATAAATCTTGTAGCTGTTTTCTTTTTGCACCCCTAAAATGGAACTTTTTAACAGCCCTGAAAAATGCATGAAACTGGAGTGACTGCTTAAAGTGTTAGGATGAACTAACTGTTCCTAGGTCTGTTACACACCAAGGTGTACTGCATTTATGTAACCAAGGTTCCACACTAAGAGTGCTTACCTTGAATAGGTTTGTGTGTGCTGTTTCACTTAAATTTGAAAGCTGTAAACGATGCTA